ACAGCCACTAGAGGCTGGATTAACCCATATGTAAACATAGCAGTTTCTCTGAAACTGCTATGTTTACAGCAGAAAGGGTTAGTCCTAGATAGACCTGGCACCCAGACCACTTCATTGAGCTGAAGTGGTCTGGGTGCCTATAGTGGTCCTTTAAGTAAAACGCGGTCAGGTTAGTTATGACTGGCTGGCTATTTGGTGGTTAATAAAGTAAAAAGTTTTGAAAGTTGGTGAACCATATGTTATATGATTATGGTTACAAAGTTATGGTCGTATGCCCTTTGAGCTTGGAATAAACACCACGGCCAAGTCCTTTGAAAAGCAAATAAACATTGCCTGTGGTTATTGTGTGGTCTTGTTTTATTTATACGATTATTGCCTACCAAACATATTACCCTTTTGCTATAAAATCTTAAAGGAGATGTTAAAAGTAAGTGTTACTAGCCACCTCTACTGTGTTCAATATTATCATCTTATTTGATACAACAACTCACATCTTCATTCCAATGTAGATTCCATAACATTCCATAACATAACTCCATAACAATTTGTGATTCTGTCTAATGAGGGGTCGCCACATAGCCATATAACTGAGGTCTTTATGTAGATTTGCTAATGTTTCCAGCGACAGCCTCCACTAAGCAATGCTCCCATTAATTCTGACGCAGGAAAACAATCAAGTTTCCACTAGCCTTAGAGAGGTCCTCAAGTTCATGATGATACATAGTGGAGTGATAGGACAAAACAAAATCTAGTATAGTGTGTAAAAGCTTCAAATATGGAGAAAAAATAATACACTTACAGTGTTTGAAGCTATAACTTAGCTCAAGATGTAGCGCCTGAACGGTACAATCTAGGCCTTTGGATATAGGTCTAAAATCTTTATCACTGGGGTATGGTTTGGATATGCAATACAAACAGAATGAATATCTGACATACAGACAGGTCCATAAATATTGGGACATCGACACAATTCTAATCTTTTTGGCTCTATACACCAACACAATGGGTTTGAAATGAAACAAACAAGATGTGCTTTAACTGCAGACTTTCAGCTTTAATTTGAGGGTATTTACATCCAAATCAGGTGAACGGTGTAGGCATTACAACAGTTTGTATATGTGCCTCCCACTTTTTAAGGGACCAAAAGTAATGGGACAGATTAACAGTCATAAATCAAACTTTCACTTTTTAATACATGGTTGCAAATCATTTGCAGTCAATTACAGCCTGAAGTCTGGAACGCATAGACATCACCAGATGCTGGGTTTCATCCCTGGTGATGCTCTGCCAGGCCTCTACTGCAACTGTTTTCAGTTCCTGCTTGTTCTTGGGGCATTTTCCCTTCAGTTTTGTCTTCATCAAGTGAAATGCATGCTCAATCGGATTCAGATCAGGTGATTGACTTGGCCATTGCATAACATTCCACTTCTTTCCCTTAAAAAACTGTTTGGTTGCTTTTGCAGTATGCTTTGGGTCATTGTCCATCTACACTGTGAAGCACCGTCCAATGAATTCTGAAGCATTTGGCTGAATATGAGCAGATAATATTGCCCGAAACACTTCAGAATTCATCCTGCTGCTTTTGTCAGCAGTCACATCATCAATAAATACAAGAGAACCAATTCCATTGGCAACCATACATGCCCACACCATGACACTACCACCACCATGCTTCACTGATGAGGTGGTATGCTTTGGATCATGAGCAGTTCCTTTCCTTCTCCATACTCTTCTCTTCCCATTACTCTGGTACAAGTTGATCTTGGTCTCATCTGTCCATAGGGTGTTGTTCCAGAACTGTGAAGGCTTTTTTAGATGTTGTTTGGCAAACTCTAATCTGGCCTTCCTGTTTTTGAGGCTCACCAATGGTTTACATCTTGTGGTGAACCCTCTGTATTTACTCTGGTGAAGTCTTCTCTTGATTGTTGACTTTGACACATATACACCTACCTCCTGGAGAGTGTTCTTGATCTGGCCAACTGTTGTGAAGGGTGTTTTCTTCACCAGGGAAAGAATTCTTCAGTCATCCACCACAGTTGTTTTCCGTGGTCTTCCAGGTCTTTTGGTGTTGCTTAGCTCACCGGTGCATTCTTTCTTTTTAAGGATGTTCCAAACAGTTGATTTGGTCACACCTAATGTTTTTGCTAGCTCTCTGATGGGTTTGTTTTGTTAAAATTGAATAAAATAATAGAAGATGTACTCACTTGGTTGGGTCCAACCCCAGTAGCCGTAAAAAATGTTGGCTGTGGGGTGCAAGACTTTTTTTGGGGGGGATCTCGTGGTGTTGCAGGATCCTCCATAGACCTCAGAGTTGTACTTTCATGCAAGTGCGCTGTAGGGACCTGCAGCGTTAACATGGCGTGGCCCAAGGGACATCTGGAGGTAAGTAAACCTCACCACCACTGCACCCCGCTGCCACTGGACCTACACCGGACATGTATTTTTCAGGGTTCTTTGCAAAATATGCAAAGACACCAAAATTTAAAGATCTGCTTTAAGGTATCACATATTATTTTGACACCACTGAGCATACTGATTGGTAAAGAAGATCTTCTCCACAAGAGAATGGGGATTACGGTGGTACAGCATTTATTTGGATTTTAAAAATTTTATACACTGCTTACAGTATTCACTCAGTATCAATATTTGACATTAAATATTAAATAGATATTGTATTGTTTTTCAGCACTGATTTTCATAGATTTTTTTTCTCCTTTCCAATCATTAGGGTGAAGGGAAGGTTGGTATTTTTATAACATTATAGTGTTTTTATAAAGCTTTTTCCACTCCTTAGTATAACTGGTTTTTCGTGAGAATTTTTAGCGCTGATATTTATTGAAATTACCACCAACAAAATTAACCAAACTACCCCCCTTCACACTAATGATAGTGAGGGGATCCAATAAACTAAATTCCTGTAAAAAAAATTATACTTACCATCAGATGTCTTCAATCTTCTTAAGCTTTTTTTCTTGACCCCCCCAAAAAAGTCCCATTACAACTATTGAAAAAAAATACCAGCCACCAATAGGTAGGGGATAGAGGGACATTAGGTTCCCCCTGAATTGTATTAATCTGAATGTGACAGTCTATTTAATACTCACTAGACTTTCTATTCATTGTGCATATCTAGAGTTGTTGAGTTAGAACCCTCCTGGATTCCTTTCTATAGTTAATGCAAACATGGACTTGCACCCAAATCTGAATGTCACTTAGTGTCTTGTGCAGTAGTCATGCCAAAGGAAATCTTACGTACTATGAACAATCTTTTTATAAATTCTGCACTATACTCCACTATCCTTGACCACAAAGCAATCACATGGCTCTCTCATAAACAACTTCTCCCTTCTTCTAAATATAATGCAGCCATTACCTTGTAGGTCTTAAGGGTAATATAATTAGGGTGGTTACATTTGTACTAAAGGCTCATTGGTTGAATTACTATTATCATAACTTGAATAAACGTAATATTGCTTCAAATACTTTCCCTTCTGTTATTATCTGTCACATTTCATTTTTCATCCTTTTTCAACCTCATACTCACTTCCTTGCTGTTTTACAAATACAAGCTTAACAAACAATCCGTAGATCATTGACGCCTCCGAAATGCTTTCAGCAAGTAAGTATGAGTTAGTCTCAATTCTCTCTTCTATCACATCACTACCAAGCCTCACATGACCTCTATGCTGATTTGCAGGGCTTCATCCATATAGATTTTGTGAACCGCCAGATGAGAATTTCCTATCACATTTTGTGTAATCCTTCAGGCTCAATGCAAATATCTCTGTCCAGCACTTTCTGAATCAATGACCTTATTAGTAGGATGATCCACTTGTATTTGCTGAGCTTATTCTAATACTGACTGAGAAATCTCCAGCTTTTGACAAGATGAAATATAATATACATAACAGAATGTCCTTCTTTTCAACTAAAAAAGTTCTGGAATTATCAAAACTGATCTGTTATCTTTCAGATTTCTACTTTTTCAGATCAAGTCTACTTTCAAAATGGGCAGTATTCTATGGTTCTATTTTTATTTCAAACATTTTAAAAGTATTTAAGTTACTAGCTATAGATTTTTAACTCCACAGACCTGTGTTTTACGTGACATTATGAGAATAATATCAGGATAGGTTAGGAGGATAGGATAGGACAGGGCTTAGTCATAACAGAAGAAACTCTACTTACCAAACACAAAAGGGTTACATTAAAGCTTATTTCTTGCACAAAAAAATCATCCTGACATCAGGTGGCACTGTGGCAAATCATCTTCCTACACTCCTACACCACCTTTCACTTTGTTCCAAACTGCACACCAGAAAGTAGTTTCTGCCTCCTGGTAAGAAGGCAGGAAGAGGGGTACATATTGGTTTGAAAGTCTAGATCAGGGATAGGCAACCTTTCAGTAGTACTGTGCCACAATAAGATTTTGAAGTCTCTCTGCATGCCGATCCTCTGTTTTAAAATTGACGTGTGTAATATGTTGCCGTATTTTGCTTGTGTTATTCATGGGTGTTGCAGTTGCTTTGTAGCATTGTACGTGTGCATGTGTGAGCTGTTATATTGTAAAGTATTCATTCATGAGTAGTTTGTGGTATTG